AAGCTTCTTCAATTGATCAGAAGTTGAAGAGGGGACAGGCTTCGAGCCATCCGGGTTCGGAGCTCTGGGAGAATTCGAGAGGAGGGGATGGTGGCTTCGTTAGAGGAGCTGTACTGCGTACGCGGGCGAACGACTGCGAATAGTAGTGCAGGTAAAGATTATTTGTAGCTGGGTGGAGCTGCATCCGTCTTAGCACTTCTGGAGCTCGGATGGCGAAATGGAATCCATGCAAGCCGCCTGCAGCAATGGAACTGGGGCACCTCAGCAGCACTGGAGCAGAAAGTGCACCCTGCGAGCCTATCGGGGATAAGGATTGGCCGGCCCGGAAGCGGGGAAGGGTTGTGCGGTGGGGCTGCCGTAGTACCGTGGTATGCCCGCGCCGGTGTGGAACTCCACTTCTTCACCGTCTGGCCCCCCCCTTCCGTCCGCTTATCCAAGGCCGAGGATAACTCTGGCTAATGGAATGGCGTGCTAGCGAGGTCGGAGACACCCATGGTCCATTATGTTGGGTGCACAGCAGACAAGAACATGCCATGGCTGACTGTTTATGGCTTGGGATTCCGTGTTGATTACAGACCAACTTGGGAAAGCATACTAAGTCGGCACGGATAAGCCCCGAGACTCCCGATACAATTGCCGTGAACTTCCTCGTCATCATTTCCACATTTCGACGACTGTCACCGGCCTGCCTGTAAGGAATGGAAGATCTCTCAAAGTACAGAACTCCATGAATCCAATCCTATAGATCCATACACCTCGTTATATCAAACATGCGCCCCATTGTCCGTAGAAAGCCCCCCCAAAGTATCTAATCTCACCTTATAATAAGGTAGTCTCTCGAAGCACCTTAAGTCTTCCATCCAGGGATAAGCTGCACATTAAACGTCGGCGTCCCAAGCCCCCCAGCAGCCCCCCTCAAATGCGCCAAATACGCAGCAAGCTCCCCGTCCTGCTCGATCGCCAACGGCATCTCCCCGCCCTTGCCATCCTTCAACACCCCCTCCAGCCGTAGACAAATCGCCCCCGGGAACTTACTCGCCGCCGCGTGCCGCAGCTCCTGCACGGAATGCGAGCTTAGCGTCGCGATCCAGATGGTCGTAGTGGCCATGAAGGTGGAGGAAGAGTGGAGGCGTAGGTAGACGGCTATGCTCGTGGTAGACGGAGGCTGCGGCTGCGGGTGCTGGTGCTGTGGTAGAGGTGACGACGGTGCGTGGAAGACAGGTTGTTGCTGCTGCTGCTGCTGCTGTGCTGCGGTGGCAGCAGCTACGGCGTATTGCTGCGCGTATTGCTGGTCTACAAACGCCGCCTGCGCGTCGGCTGCTAGGAGGAGAGACGAGCCCATGTGGTGGGTTTCCAGGCCCATGTCCGGCTGCCCGAGGAGCGCCGATGAGAGGATCCTCGCCGCGGAGTGGCCCATCGGGTCGGCGGCCGCGGCGGCCTGGACCTGCATCGACACGGTGGGCATGAGCATCTGCGGCTGCTGGCTTTCCCCCGAGCCGGGCATGAGTCCCATAGACGGCGGTACGGATACCTGGCTGGCATCGACGTACTGGCCGCCGCCCAAGTCATCCTCGTCTTCCAAAGCATCAGCCATTTCTGGCTGTGCGGGCTGGGCCCGGACCTGAATTGCCTGGACTTCCTCTTGCCGTTTCGCGTCGTCGCGAACTAGTTGCGTCTGTTGCGTGACTCCTCGTTTCTGTGGCTGCTCCCGCCTCGAGGCATCATCCCTCAGCCTCTTCATCACATCCTTCGCAAGAACATCCAAAGCCCGCACCTTTTCAGCGTGAGCGTGAGCATGCACTGAAGAAGCACCGCCGTCTCCTTCGTCTCCTTCGTCCCCCGGCGGAGCGAGAACCCGCCGTACCAGCTCCGACCCAGCCTCCCACTCCGCCTTCAGCTCCGCCCACTGCGCCGGCCCAGCCTCAGACTTGCAACCGAGCCCCTCCCGCTTTAATATCCTCTCAAACGCCGCGCGGAGATCCCTCGCCTCCTCCGGGTTGACGCCCAGGATATTTTTCGCCTCGGCGAGCGTGAGCCGCTTCTCCAGCGTCCGCGCCCGCTTCGTAATGTCCGTACATATAACGTCGAGGGCCAATCTCTTGGACTCGTGGTTGTTACTGCTGCGGTTGTTACTGCTGTTGCTGTTGCTGTTGCTGTTGCCGTTCGCATCCCCAGACTCCTCGTCGTCCCACATCACTGCTCTCAGCCGCGGCGTCTCCCTCACAAGCCGGGCTTTGACGGCCGCCCACCTCTCCGGCCCGGCGATCGTCTTCTTGACGATGCCGGCTTCCTCGCAGAGCTGCGCAAACGTGACCCGCACCTGACGATATACGTCCGTCTCCAACCCGAGGATGGCTTTTGCGTCGTCGAGCGTGGTCTCTGAAGGGAAGCGCGGGGCGATGGAGTGTTGTGTATCATGAGATGACGCGGCCTCCCAGGCTCGCAGCCGCCGCCTCTTCCTCCTGTTGTTGCTGCTGCTATTGCCGTTGCTCTCCTTGCCCCCCACCGCGTCGTCGTCTTCGTCGCCCTCGCCCTCGCCTGGCAGCGACGACCCCAGCATCTCCCGATCCGTAAGAGTACCAGCCGTCACAACCCCCTCACCACCCCGGCTCCCAAAGCCGTCGTCGATAGTGACCACAGATGCTTCCCGCCGACCAGAGCCCGCCACCGCCTCCTCCTCATCCCCGTAACCATCCCTAGACCGCTCCCCATTCGCAGCCTTCAAAAGCCACCGGTTCCTCGTCCTCACGCGAATCAGCTCGCGCTTCTTGATGTCGAACCCATCCTCCCTCAGCACGGCCAGCATCTCTCCCTGCGTCAGGTTCCGCTCCCACAGCTCCTTGACGCGTGCGACCAGCCGGCCGTTCTTGTGCGCAGGGTTCTGCTTGGACGGGAAATCCCACTTGCGGAACTGGGTCTGGAAGGCTCGTTTGCTGTACCATGTGTGTGAGCGAGCGACATGTGTAGTCCGACAGCCTTTACTTTACCCCGGATTCGGCCCCGGCACCGGCCCCAGTCCCGGTTCCGTTGTGGAACGGGGGTAAGCTTTGCCGGATGTGGATCGGGCAGTCCGACCGGCGAGAGGAACCACGAAGACCATAGGGGAGCAGAGGTGGATAAAGAGACTCAAACTGACCAGGGCGCAAAGTCATGATGCATTTTTAGGTACATCATGATGTCCTCGAGGGACCTCTTCTCGTTGATGTAGAGCTGAAAACATAGCTTCTCGTGGGCATCCCAATCATATACCATGCCTCTAGAGTTCCTCTACGAGTCGTGTCTTGTAATAATGCGTCTTTGGCTGAATGGGGGAGCGTCGACGATGCGCAAGTGGTTAGTTGAGTCAGCCGTACTGTGCCAAGATCATGATGCACGGTAGCGAGGACTGTCTGATTATCTTATCTCACTCTTATCGCATTCTTATCATTGTCTTCACCGAAGTATCTTATGCTCGGTGAGCTTCGGTGAGAAGCTGTACGTCCACTAAGTGTCATGGCTGTATCTCTCGGGAACTTGGTCATCCATCCCGTTAATCGGCTTCATAAGGAGTAGGTAGCTTGATCAAACCAATATTTCAGAATCTCCAAGTTTCTGACAGCAATTAACGACCAAGCCAGTCCCTGATACATGCCGGGCCGCTCCGCATGGACGTTGATCACTCTACCATTCCGGACCTCGGTACCGGTTGTAAGCGTTCTTCCCCTCCATCTCCAACCTTTGACCTCGAACCCAAAGACGGCGGCAAAGCGCATCCACGTAAAAGTTCACTTCTATCTACATTATCCCCCACCTCCATCCCCTACAATCCAGTCAATCTGAATAACTCAACCTCCATCAAAAACCACAAATTCCATCACAAACAATCTCACCACCAACCTCATCACCACGACCTCAACTCCACATCCAATACATCATCAATCACAACCCTCCAAGAACCCATCAACAACAATGTCCTCCCTCCCAACATCCTACAACACCCTCTCCCTCCCCCAAATAACCCTCTCCCACCACCCCGCCTCCTCCCCCTCCCCAACCCCGGTGATACTCCTCACCCTCAACCGCCCCTCCGCCCGCAACGCCTTCACAGACGAAATGGCGTCCTCCCTAGCAAAAGCCTACACCCTCCTCTCCACCGACCCCCGCGTGAAAGCCATAGTCCTCACCGGCTCAGACCCCTCCAACAAGACCTTCTGCGCAGGAATGGACCTCCACAACCGCGTCCGCCTCCCCTCCCACCGCGACGCCCACCGCGACACGGGAGGCCTCGTCGCCCTAGCAATGCACAACTGCTCGAAACCCGTCATCGCCGCGATAAACGGCTCCGCCGTCGGCGTGGGCATCACGATGGCCCTCCCCGCCTCCATCCGCATCGTCTCCCGCGACGCGAAGATCGGCTTCGTCTTTGGGCGGCGCGGGTTCAACATGGAGGCCTGCTCGTCCTTTTACCTCCCGCGCCTCATCGGCGCCGGCCCGGCGCTGCATCTGTGTACCACGGGAGGGGTGTACCCCGCCACGAGCCCGCTGCTGCGCAACTTATTCAGCGAGATCGTCGCGCCGGGCGAGGTTCTCCCGCGCGCGCTGGCGGTCGCCGAGGACGTCGCTGCGAACGTGAGTACCGTGGCCGTGAGGGTGATGCGGGATATGATTCTGAGGTCGCCGGCGAGTCCGGAGGAGGCGCACCTGCTGGAGAGCAAGATCTTCTTCGACCTGTTTAGCGGGAAAGATAGTAAAGAGGGGATGGAGAGTTTCATGGAGAAGAGAGCGCCGCGGTTCGAGGCGACGATGGAGAAGGATGCGCCGACGGCGTACCCGTGGTGGAAAGAGGTTGATATCAAAGCAAAGATTTGAAATTCGCTGTAGTATTACATTTGTAAAATTGAAATCATGACATGAGAAGAAGTACTGTATGGACGATCCTGATTGCAGTATGTGACGGCCCGCTAACCCAGTCCACCCTTATGGAAACCCCCTATTCAATCATCAACCAAGCCCGCCCGCTCTCAAGGCCTGTACTTCCACAACTCCGGGTCAAAGATGATATCGTACTCGTTCTTGGAGAATGTGCCAATGGCACAACTCAGGTCATGGTATCCCTCCAGACCGTTGACCGGCAAATCTTGCTCAGAGTCACCCTCCTCATGAAGGTTCCAGCTCCCGGACAGTCTACCGTCTCGCGTGAAGAAGATCTCAACGCTCATCCTGCCGCCCTGAGCCGTGAAGGACATGCCGATACCCAGCGTCTCGCCGGGTTGGAAAGGTGTTGTGAAAGACTTTCCGCCCCACCTGTCGTTGATGTACTTGTGCCCGTCGTCGCCGTGAACACCGAGACTGCCGCGGTGCCATCCGGGAAGACGGAAGTTGGGGTACGGAAGCGCGGTGAAGCCAAGGGCGAGGTCTACCTCACTTGCCGATCCGCGAATCTTGACTTCATAATAGACCTTGAAGGGTTTGCCGGTGGCGAGAGGCGAATTGTGCTTGACCGAGTATAAAGGCGGGTAGCCGATGATGGTGCTATCAGGTGCATTCCTTTGCGTCGTGACCTCCCACTTACCCGAGACGGGCTGGGCCATTGTGCCGCGGAATCCTTGAGGCTGGAGAAGCCATATCCTGTGCGTGCGCAAAGCCTCGAGAGCACTAGCGTCAAGATTGATAGGCTTGACGAGAGGGTACTGGGCCACCCAGGCCTCCCCAGCTTCAGACTCTTGCTCCGTAGAGTTGTTCGCAGGGGAACGGTCAAATCCGCTGAAGAAGGCCGGGGGCGGTGGGAAGAGGGTGGTATCGGGAACCGCCGTCTCCCAGTCGTGTTTTTTCGATTCCGATGGTGGGGGGCCCGAGGGAGGAGCCGTGTAGTCATTGTGGGATGGCGGAGGTCCCGGAGGAGGAGCAGTATAGTCATTGCGGGCCGGCGGAGGTCCCGGAGGCGGCGCGTACTCACTCTGCTGGTGTGAGGGAGGAGGTCCCGATGGCGGCGCATATCCTCCATGGGACGGAGGAGGACCCGAGGGAGGCGCAAATTCATCAGCCCGGCCTGGCGGCGGACCACTCGGGGCGGCGTACGTCTGACTCGGAGGCGGGCCGGGAGGAGGAGCATACTGCTGCTGGGCCGAATGCTGCCCCGGAGGCGGACCAGCCGGCGGCGCGTATTGGGGCTGCTGCTGATTGCTGCTGGTCATCTTGGTGTCTTGCTGCTGTAGTGAAGAAGGACGTTGCGCGGGACGCGGGGCAGGACTGTCATCCTTGTCGGCCTTGCTGCCGAAACACATCTTCAGGAATTGGGGGGGGGGGGGGGGAAGAAAGTTTTGGGGCTTTTTATGCAGTTCGTCTGGTGTCTGATCTTTCGTGGTTCGTTGTGTTTGCGGAACAATGTGGTGAGTCGGAGGGGTAATAGATGTTGCGGAGAGTATCTCTGGGTGTGTGGGCGCCTTGACGTCGGAATTGAGCTTGAGCTTGATTGAGTAGGTAAAGCAGTGGGAAATCTGAAACAATGCGACCCAGACGATTGAGGGTGGGAATTGGCAAATGTGCAAGATGTTGCAGGTATGGAAAACTTGTCTAGCGTCGCGGGTGATGTAGGTGAAATGCAGCGATGATGCACGACGGGGGCGGGTGAGGCGTTGATATGAAGAAGAACAAAGGTGGCTGTGTTTTCTTTGGGCGGTAGCAGATGACGGGATTCTAAGGTAGGCTGACTGGCTCCCCCAGTGATGATGAGAGGACCATGATGGTGGAACTTTGGGAGCTGTCCGCAATAGGCAGCTGGGATCCATTTTTCTTTGGCGATACCTGCTGCAGGACGCTGGAGCTGCGTATTCCCCCGCAGCAACAGGTATAAACGACACTCCAATGAGCTCCCTGCGTTTGGAGTGTTTCTGTGCCTTGGTTTACCCAAGATAGTAGGCACGTAGGTACACTACGGTACCTGATTGTTCGACGCCTCAAGGTGCAGGCACTTTGTCTTTACTTTACCATATACCTAGAACAAAGCTACATGCGCCAATGCACTACCCTGGGCAGACAACGACAATGACACCAAAAAGAAGTCTCTTGTGCGACCAACGGCTTTTCACCCTCTTTACCTCGACCAACATACACCTAACTGGACGAAAGAAGAAAACACAAGCCACGGCAGTGGCATCAAGGAGGCCGCCTACCTAGGTAACTGCCCGATGGCGTACCCTGATCATCACCCGGCGCAATCGGGCGGAACTGGTGTGGGGGCAATCGGCGCAGCTAGCTTTTTAAGCTTACCCAGTGGGCCGAAACTTCCATCCCCTCAATGTCACCGAACCATGTCACCATGAATGGCCAACTTGATGTATGAGCGTTGCGGTTTTCCTCCGTGGCGTCGCATTGGTTTCTCTCCATAAACAACACTCGTGTTTCTGGAACACCGACGGGGATCAAATACGACCCTATGCCTACCTGTCAACCTGATATCACTCCGTTGCTGACTAAACAAGATGTTGACCCCAGACTAAGATGCATTGCTGTCGTCGTCAATCTACTATACCTACCTTGGAATTTTCACCTTGGATACACAAAACATCAACACCGGTTTATCTCCATATTCTTCAACCGCGTCCTACATCGAACATGATACACAGACAAAGCCAGCCATCCACTAGCCCCCGACTATGCCATACCATCTCGCCAGCACGGTACGTATGCGAGATACTTTTCCACGGAAATGAAAGGAGATGACGGCCACAGACTCAGAGCTTAAACAGGCTACCTCGACCAGCCATCTCTGGAAAACCGAGTACCATCCACATACTCATTTTCTTTACATGAATGGCTACAATCAGAGTAGGCGAAACAGAGGAAATATCCTGGGCGGCACATTAGTCTGTCGCTAACCTCGCCTATCAAGGCAATGCTGGTGAACTCCTTGATCCTTCATGTCAGCGGCAAGGGAGGAGAAGTTAATGCGGCGTTGAAGATGAACAGCCAGGCGGAGATGCGCCGTGAGAAAAAAATGAAAGTATCCAATAATAACAAAATTCACAATCGAAAGCATCGCATATCTCATAATTCATGGTGTAAAAATACGTGTATATTCGGCGCCCAAGAGCCTGTTCCCGTGTGGAAGACAGTGAATCAAAGCTACTAATTGTGTGCGCCATCGATCAAAAGTTTGAAATTGCAACAAACTTGTGCAAGAATGATATAACCCCAATCCCAAGTCACCCCCTTGTTAATAAAAGCCGCGTGCCATAGGGTATATGTCATAGCAGCAGAATAGAAAGAAATCTTCATGAAGCGTCGTAAGTTGTTCTTCACCAACAACCACTCCTCCTCATCAGGCCAACCGCATAGCATAAGGATCATGTCCTATTATGCGACCTCATACCCCCAAATTCAGGCACCGAAGGAGCTCGCCTCGTCCGAGTTGGGGTAGAAGAAAGCAACCACAGCGATAATGATGTATGTTGCACACAACAAAGCGCCCTCAAGGTAGTTACTCCTTCCGTCGAGTACCAGGAAGTTGACAATGAAAGCTGAAACGAACAAGCAGACTGTCTCGAACAAGGTAAAGTACAGCGACATATCGCGGTCCATAGCCCAACCGATGATGACGACAATGGGCGTGATGAAGAGAGCGATCTGGATGGAGCTACCAACGGCAACACCAATGGCCAGGTCCATCTTATTCTTCATAGCGACAGTGACGGCCGTGACGTGCTCTGCTGCGTTGCCAACAATGGGGAGGATAATGAGACCGATGAAGATCTCGCCAAGAGGACTGGTCTTGACAACCTCGTTAATGGAGTCGACAAGGAACTCGGCGCAGACGGCGACAAGGGCGGTGGAGAAGAGCAGAAGAAGGACGGCAGCAGTGCGGGATAGGTGATCATTGTCGGCAGTCTCGTCCTTGGCACTCAGACCACTGTTGACAGTTGCGACACCAGGAATCTGGGCGGGAAATACTCCTCCGGGGGGGCGAACGTTCCCATACTGGTTGAGACGGTCAGGCAAGGAGTTGGTACGGCGGATACCGAAACGGACTCGGGGGACTGGGCCGGCCGGGGCAGCGGGGCCGGCGGATGGGGTCTCGTCGGGTGTGGTGAAGACAGCGGGGGCGAAGTTCTTAATCGACAGCCCGCGAAGGCCAGACACTGGGCGACTCTTGGCGGCTTGAGTGGTATCGGTCGGCTCCGAGGGGCCAGCAGGTTGATCGGCAAAGTCCAGACGGCGGGGTTCACCCGCTTGAGCGCTGCTGGTCAAAGGCTCATGGCCTTCAACATCGACAAGGTTGTTCCGGGAGGCCTTCTTGGACTTCTTCTGATGCTTGTGATGACGTCTACGATGCTTTCTGTGCTTACGAGACCTGTCTTCCTCAACGGCCTCATCGCTACCGACAGAGTTGAAGCGAGGAATGGCTGGACGACTGGCGGATCCTTCAGAGCCGTGAGTTGTACCGACAGAGGAGTTACGGGTACGGGGGAGACCGTCGGTGTTGACAGAAACCACACTAGACTTGCGCCTTCTACCGGCGCGCATGACCTTTCTCATTGTCTTGCGTACAGTGCCTCCAGAGCTGTCAGAAGCATCTGAATCGGAGTCGGAGTCGGAGCTATCTTCAGAACTGGAAGAGTCGAAGAAACCAATGGCCGGGCCAGGAGCGGACTCAGCATCCACAATGTGTTGCGGTGTAGACTCGTACATGTAGGCATGAGACTTCAACTGGAACAGGAGGTACAAGATGTATACCAATAGGAGGACCTACATGAAATTAGCAGTCGAGACTTGGGTAGTACATCATGGAGTACTCACCACACTGGTACCACGACTAATCTTGAGAGTCTCATCCTCAGCCTTGAAGGTGTTTTGAAATGAAGCGTGGAAGGCAGTCTGGGAAGTGGTTAGTTTCAGGATATTTTCCGGTGTGGCTTCAGAAAACTTACAGGAAGCACCAAACTGATGACACTCAAACTAAGCAGACAAGCACTCATCTGCGTGACGGTGCTGTTGTAGATCTAATGACTGTATCAGTACAGTACTAATTTCGTCAAAAGAGCCGATTCAACTCACCTGCTCTCGGAAGCGCAGGCCACCGAGGAAGAAGCACATGCCCAAAATGAGCAGCAAGTTGGCCAAAATAGAGCCTAGGAGGGACGCCTGAACAATGCGAATTTCATCCTGGGTCCAAGTCAGCAAGCAAGTCCGCTGAAATTACATGTTAGACTATCCTACCTTGACAAGCGCGATGCTGAAGAGCCGCAGAAGATGTACATGTTAGCAAACCTGCAATAAAGTATACTCTAGAAAATAACGACCGGTTGTAGGTTGTGAATTGACATTGGGAGAAGAGAACTGCATGATTTGGGACTTGATTGATGTGATGGTGTCTTTTGGTGTAGACTTCTCGTCTCTTTCTCGTCTTTGTCACCCGCAGAAGGGTAGGAACATACATGCTGGATTGGAGAAATAAGCATTAGCCAAGACTGCGCCAAGACATTCAGAGGGTTGCAAGGTTCGAGATATTCAGGGCCAAGATCCAGTGAGCGGCTTGGCCAAGACAGGTGCCAAGACAAGCCGCAACACGTTTGGATCTTTGGGCTTCCCCACCGCGAGCCTCCCCCAAACCACCTCGTAGAATGGCTTGGAGGGAAGAATGGAAATAGAGTCAGGCAAAACTTACAAGATAATCAGTTCGACGGCATTGCCGAAAGTCACGTTCAGGAGGGCGCCAATGGTGTCACCAAGCTTGCTGGCGACGGACTCGGTGGCGTGGCTGAGCAGGCCAGCGAGTGGAATGATGGCGATGGCATTCATTGCGAAGACGATGCCGGGGCTCACGCCGAGGGCTTTTGTGATGATGCCTACGGGGACGAAGACGAGGAGCACGTTGACCCAGCTGTGGAACAGGATCATTTTACACGTGAGGTAGAAGCGGGCAAAAACGCCAGGTTTTTGCTTCTGTTCGGGAGTTTGATTCTTCTTCAAAGCACCCTCCTCGTCTACGACAGCCCCCTGCCGCGAAGTTTTCGAAGATATAGCAACATCCTCGAGGTCGCGGGGACTTGTTTTCTCATTGATGTCGTCCGGGTATGTGAGGGTGAGGTTGTTGCTCGCAGAAGAGCTCGTGATGTGAGAGGAGACGCCATTGGCGACGCCATTACTACTATTGGTAGTAGAAGCCGTGGTGTCGAACGTGTTGTTGCGCTGGGTAGCGGGAAGAGAAGACTTGCTGGACAAGTCTATTGAGTCGGTGACTATGTTTGCCGAATTGCCGTGGGATCGGTTCGAGGAGCTGCGACGG